TAAACTACAAGAATCACATCTAAAAATCTTGGATCCACCAAGTTTTTTATTGATCGATCCGCAGTTACCGCATGTTTTAGATGTGTATTCTTCGGTACATTCGATAACTTTACAACTCACAAATTCCCTAGCTTTGTGGTGTAAAAACATCCTAAATCTATAATGTGACCATGTCAGCATCATCCTCGCGGTCTTCGACCTGATCTTTCTCTTGTTTTTAAGAACCATGTTCGAGGTTTCGAATTTTGGTATTAATATGATCTCATAATTCTCACATAACCAACGAGCAAGTTGATGATGACATTCGTTGATCAAGTTCCTAATTCTGACAATGATCCTATACATCTTTATCTTCAATTTGTATCTTTTACGTTTATTTTTTCGTCCGATCGCCAGATCCTTGTCTTTTTGTAATTTATCATATCTCTTTGATAATCTAAATATCTTGTTGAGATCACCGTTACCCCACTCTACAATTCGACCGTTAGGATCATAACCAGTCATAAAGGTACGTACACCTGGATCGAGCGATATCACTTTTCCTTTGACACCATCTTGATTATCGCTGACGTCTAAAGGAATAGATACACACATGTAAAAATGTCCTAATCTGTTCATGGTTATGTTCACGGTATGATTTATTTCTGGTGGTCTTTCTGACACGATCACGGTCTTAAGGAACGCATATTTTCCTTTTTTCCTGTTCCAATCTCTAGCCAGTATTGAGATAGTTTGCGAACGATCTTTTTTTGTTTTGTATTTCATTCTAAAATTATTACCATGTAATTTCTTGCTCGTCTTAAATGCGCTTATCAACTGCCTGATTACGTATGACCTCACTTCCCTTGGTGTTTCCTTCACCCATGACAATTCTTCGTTTGCTAAACATTCATCGTTCAAGTAATGCTTCCTTATAATGTTCATATTACTTATCTTATCATCTTATAACATTTCAAGAACTTTGTTGTAGGTCCACCTCACAGTTCCCATCCATTTTCTTAATTTTTCTCTTTCTTCCGATGTTGGGTACATTCGTATCTTTCGAGTTTTTAGTTTCTCTTCGTCGTTTCCTGTTCTGAGCTGATCTGAGTCCATTGTGTCTTGCCGTGAAGATAGTAACGATGGATAATAGATCCTCGGCAAGCTCTCCGGATTCTGTATCATCAACGTTGACGTCCGAACCGAGTACCAAGATCTTTGTATCGTTCTTACCAAAGATCCATTCGACAAGTTCGTAAGCGAACCGACAGAGTCGATCCTTCCTGGCAACCACAACTTCATCGTGGAACGATCGTTCCAGAATGGACGTGAAACCTTTACGTTTCCAATTGAGACCTGATCCGATGTCCTTGATGAGTTCGTGATCTGGGTATTTCTCCCTGAGGTGTTCACATTGTCTGTCGAGATCTTCTTTCTGTTTATCTGAGCTAACTCTTGCGTAACAGATCTTTTTCTTTTCATTTACTTTTTCTTGAAATATTTTTTCCAC